CTTCATTTATTATAATTCTTTTTCCAATAACATATGTTTTGTAACGCAGATGTAATAGATTTACTATTTATTATAAGAAATCAGTAGTTTTCGAACATCTTACTCCATTTGATCATGAGGAAAACTAGTCATATGAGATAAATTAATTAACAGAGAAAATATGGTTAGTTTTGGTAAAACAACCATTTATTGTTATTGATAACCACAATGTTAGTGCTGAAGATAAAACAAATCTAGTAGACTTACAACAAAGCACACAGTATTGTGACATCTACAATAACATTTATTTCATCAATCTATCAATTATTATATAAAGGAATGAATAAGTTTAATGCTTTGCAAAACGTAAGAATTTTGCTTGTAAAACCCCTGCTAATACGAGTAAAGTTAAGAAAACTGCTTACGACGGCGGATTCAAGGGAATATTTCATTAAGGATTTGAGAATAAATTACCTTCAACGAAAAGCTGATGGAGCTGAAGAATTAAATTGAATTTGTATACATCATAGTTGACTTTTAGGCTTGAGAATAACCCTTGTAATTATTATATAAAGAATAATCCGAACCAGGCGTGGGAAAATGCCCACATTACTTCTATAGTCAACTAATTGTGTTTATAAAGCAGAATTATATATGCAAATATTTATCTCGGTACGTAAAAATCTAGAATACATTTTGTTCTAAACATTAAATTATATGGTCCAGTACTTAAATACGATTTAAAAATTTCTTAAGTACAAGGTAGACATTTTAATGTTTTTTTTCTTGAATAGAATATGATGAATGAAATCATTTTTATGAAGTACTTTTTTTTACATTTCATATGTAAAAAAAATGTATGATTGTATTTATTTAAACATTTTTTGGATAAAGTGCACCAATAATATGTCAGTACGGTAAACAGTTTATTAAATAAATTTTACTTACTTGTATGTGCAGTAAATAAAGTGCAATTTAAAAAAGAGGTCGTAATTAGTTATTTATGTAACTAGTGTGCAAAGGCACTTTGCACTCTCGTTACACATTATATTTTTCCTACAGTTACTATAAAGCGTATAAATAATTAGTCTTTCGAACACTATACAACACGTTTTTAGGTTAGGTCAAATTCAAGCGTTAGACTAAATGGGAAATGATGCACCGGCTGTTAATATAGTAGTTGTAATATCTTTAAGAGTTACCAACTTATTTTCAAGTGTAAACGTATTACTTGCCTAACAAAAGCACACAGTTTGGTGTTGGTTGGAATACATGGAGTGCGGAAAAAATTATTGCGGCAAAAAAAGTGTGGCAAAAGTAAGTAAATGCAGCGATTAGATACTTGGCGTGCTATTATCATTGCAAGAAGACCTACTTTGTCAGGTAACTGTAGGGAAAGTAAATACTGACACTACACATAAATATACATTTAAGGTGCTTTTCATCGATAAATACGAGGATTACAGACAATTTACAACCAACGTTAAGGTTCAATATGTAGAGTAAGATTTACCAACATATTTTCAAACCTATTTCATTAAATAAATGTGTTTTTTTTATTTTTACCGATGCAAGGGTTCCTAACTATAATAATATTTAGTATTCATTAAAATCGTTCTTTTTAAGGCCAGGTGCTAAACAACGACAAAAACAACTTGAAAGTATACGAGAATAAATTTTAACAGTTTTCAACTACATTATACTATTATATTAATAATCTTCTGGATGATTTCTCTAACGATAGTATTTTATACTTAGAGTAGTTTTTGTTCTGCACATATACAATTCTTAATTTAATTACTCAGATCTGGAATTGAGTAAATATTAATATTCCCATACTATTTTAAATAAAATAATCACAAATAAGCTTGAAATAAATCCTCAACCGAATAATGCACTTAACCCTGATAGTCGACTGCAAAAGAAAAGAAGTGTGCTAAAGAAATTTTTGAGGGCGGATATATTTTTCCGTTATTGAAATTGTAGAGGACTAAATAAAAAGAGTTAAAAATATAAAGTTGGTGTTGGGAAAACAGATTACCAAAGTAGATACACCTGTCAGATTTCACACTATGTATATTGGTTGTTTTATTGATTACCAGCTGGGCAAATACATCTGGCCTTAGTCACTAACCCATAGATCGGTAAACCAAGGTTCTCGCTCCATTTTACATTAAACCTTCATTTATATTCTCCCAAAGTCTTGGATTAAGTTGTTCATTGTATTGACACATCGATTCATTGATCAAGTACACTGAATTATATCTGAGATTGAAACTCAAAAGTGCTGATTATGGTACGGGGAAATCCAGTTTAATTTTAATACTAAATTAAGAGTTATCAATGTAAAAAAAATAAATAAATAAACTATTAGTTAACCTCTAAAGCAATATATTCTGTTTAGAAAATAAATTCAACATCTACATTTGAAAACATTGTAAATAATAACTAAAATCAATGTTAACAATGTAACCTAAAATTAACTAATTTCATTGAATATTAAATTGAATGTGGTAAGGTTATTGAAATATAAAAATAGATTGTCATCATTTATGTCGTTTCATAATTTATGGGGCTCTGAAATTCATTGTGTATTTGAGCTCTAACAATGCACAAGGAACGACTTAATCATTGTTATCATTGTTGTGGTTATGCATCATATAAAATTCAATTAATTACCTTGATAAGCGAATCACCCCTCAGTTTACATTGGAATATTTAAGCCTCCTCTTTATTGAAACGAGATTTTCAACTCTTCCAAACAGAGCAATTCAGTGTAATTTAGTTAATAATTGCCAATTAGTAAATAATTGAAAATTAGTGGTTTTCCTATACAACAATATGTTTTTGTTACTCGTGATTAAATCATTTCTTTACAATAATGACTACTGATGTTATGTCTAAATAAATGTTTCTATGGTTTTTTTTTCGAAAACGTTTAATACTTGTTATTTTTATTTCGTTACTAAACTTAACAAGTTGTTATCTTATAAAAACCTATAGATATTAACCAACATTTGGGGACATTAGAAACCCAATTAGTGGATTTAAAACCCTATACTAATAATATTAATATACCATCAACCAGATTGGTATAGAATATACATTGTATTTCCTCATTACTCAAACGAGTTAATGTTTCTTTCATAGTTTAACCAGTAACGTATTGGACCAACGAAAATGTGAACTAAATTTAGGTTATTCAATTTTAAACATCTTTAGTCCTATTACCTCATTTTATCGTAGAGGGTTAAAACTTAAAAGGTAATGAATCATAATAATTGTTATTATTCGGTAATAATGATTCAATTTGAGTTTTTAAATCTGTAAAATAAATAAAAAAATACCTAACAATGCAATTATCAAATATAGCTAGAATGTATTAAAGCGTTTAACAAAATGTTATATTATTAAATAGAAATTATTCGAAGTGCAAATATGTCACTACAAAACATTTATTTTGGACAAATTGCACTGCAACACCTTCCTTACAAGTACTTCGATTTGGGTGAACCGTAAGTTATTAAAACCATTTATGAGGATGTTTTTGATGTGACTATTTAAAATAAAATCAGGACATTGAAATAACGAAAATACGAAAAATATAGCTATCATTTTGTACAGATATATTAGTCGTATAAAAAACTAGTATTACACATTTATTTAATGCAATAATGTAAAACATCCATTGTTTTGAAACACACAAAATCTTAAAATTTTCAGAAAATAATATGTATAAAGGGAAGTTTAGTCGAGTATTAAGCTATATTTAGCAGCGATGTGACTTGAGCGCATTCTATCGTATGTTGGACACACTTGCGCTCGCTCGATCTGCGCATAACGTTAAATAACGTAAACATCTCATGTAAATATTATTGAGCTGGTCAGTTGCATACAAATATCCACAGCCTCTATATGCGAATATCAAATGAAAAAAATTCCATAAATTTATACTTAGGGGAAAAAGTACGTAGAATATCTATTCGAAATATACGTTGGTTTTATTTTAGCATTTGTCTTGTGGGTAATTTGTAAAGTTATTCGTTTTATTAAAACATGCATTTTGTGAGAAGATCTACGGGTTAACATTTTTATTTTGCTATTTTAGTATCAGTAATTCCTATATGTTTGTGTAGTAAATGGATATATTCCTCTAAAAAGAGTAACATAATTACATGCACTACATGCATAACGTTGAAGCTACATACACTTAAGGTGCTATTAAACTTATAAAGGCAGGCATTAGACACTTTTTAACCAATATATAAAAACTCATGCTTAAGAGTAAGAAGAGATTAAATTAAAAGTCTGAGATGGAATATGCCAGTTTTTGTATAGAAATATGTAACCTAGATCTTCTAGAGGAATTGGAAACGAAATTCAAAATCCAATCCACCAAATAGATATAGTTTCTATTTTACTCAGACAATGCATGAATGAAAATAAAGGCAAAACTCGACGTATTATTTTCGTGTTATGAAATTAGTAGTGTGTCTATCGCACCATCGTTATTTAAGCATTTAAAACAATAGTACTTTTAGAAAAGAGGCTACTTTTTAAAATGGAAATTTAAGACAAATCCACGTCATGAAAATAAAAATCTTACATTAAAGCTTAATATAACAATTGTCTGTATATGTTTCATTTTAAGAAACATATACGACGTAACATAAACATTTAATGTGTACAAGGATAGATTTCAAGCGCGGGATTTGGAAAATAAACTGATTTTCACAAACTTGTTAGAGAGTTTAGGACTTTATTATTTCTAATGTTGTAAAAAAAAATTAAGAAACTGTCTAAAATCTTAAACAAAAGTTTAAGAGAAAATTTAAATGAACAATACACAAGTTCCTTTACTGCTGAAAAATGATCACGGTTTAAAATATGTTGAGAAATATATTGTTGTTTATATCAAACAATTAAACTAGCAAACAAATAAAAATAAATTTGCAACACGTTCAACGTTTAACGCCTCCCCAGGCATATTCCATCCGTCGAAGATAGAAGAGGATACTGACCACTAAAGGAGACATGTCGCCTATCACACAGACACACATGTACACCTACACATACACGACACACATGCACGACGCACGCACGCACAACCACGGTACCTGATGTGACGCGACACGCTCACTGACACACACTGACTACCACGTGGTGTAACGCCGCCCACCGCGTCCCCCGCCCCCCTCGCGGCCCCCACGACAGGTGGGACTACTGTACCTTCGACTACGGGTAGAACTACATATCGTTCCTATATTATGGTATTATGGGGAAATTATCATTACGAATTATCGTATTCAAATTGAAAGGTTGGTTTTCAGTATATCACTTATTTGTGTTCTAGAATAAACATTAGGGAATTTTTGCCATTAAAAGCTAACGCTAAACGCTAAAAATTGGTGTTCACTGTATGAGTGTCCAAGAATTTTGTATCTCCGTAACGCTAATACTGAACGTAAAATGGAGCTAAGGTGTTGTATATATCAATGCTTTAGAGGTAAGTATTGTTTAGTGTTTCATATACTTGGTTGCGATTGATTTTGTAGTTTTGGAGGACATTTAGCTTTATCAGCTTTAGGAACTTCAGGAGCTTTAGGAGCTAGAATTGATCAAGGTTCTCCCGTTTCAACATAGAACTTCTTTTAATAACACCATTTCATCATTTAGACCTTAGGGTGAATCTCAAACGTTTTTCGGTATTGAAGAAAAATCCGTAAAAGCAAAAAAATCTAATCACGATTTAAAAATGAACTCAGCATACACTTCCAACTTAGGTTATGTTTAATTGTTTATGCTTAACAGCTTTAATGTTACGATAAACACTACTATAAACCCGTGAAATAGTGAGCCCAATACGTTATTGAACTCGGTAAACGCTAATTACTACACATTAACGTTTAGCGTATTTAGTTAACGTTAAGAGCAAAAACGTTCTATATACATTACAATTTGTTCTAAGCTACAGCATATTTTATGCACCAACTGTCATTGTTGTAAAACCCTCTAGTAGAGTTTGGACTACTTCGACAATGTAGTACAATGTAGTGAGTATTTGGTTCGCATGATGTAGCCATGGTTTTGGAATTAAAATTACCATCGTAGAACTGAAAAAAATATAGTTTCCGGGAAATTCCCTGTTTGTGTTATCCGAGAAACATTTACATTGGAACATGTTTTAGCTACATCACCTTGTATGTCACGCCAACTGTTAAGGAAGCCCCCACTACAGTTAGGACTGCCTTTGACGATGCAGATGAGTGTGAATGAGTAAATGTTGTAGCCGTAGATTTGGAATTGAAATGTTCATGGTAAAATCATAGATTAAACATTAGACATGTATACTCTTTTATCCATGGTAGAATTGAACCGCCAATACTGTGCTATATGTCACTGATTTGTGTTGTGTTTAACTAATTTTAACCCGAGGCAAACTGACAGGACAGTTTGTTGTAGTCTAAGTCACACAAACTATCATAGTATGTAAAACTAATTATGAAATAGTATTTTCACAGTTATAAACTCTGTAAGTAGTTCTTTTTACCATGTTATGTTTGAATAGGAAATTAACTACAGTTATTGTCACAGACTAGAAAGTCAATACATGCCCTGCTAATACCTAGGAGTAAGTATATTCTACGAATGTAAAGACAAACACACTCTCTGGCAGAAATATCGTAACTGATCTCAAACTGTTAAATTCTGGTCAACAGATTAACAACAAGTTATGCAACAAAGCTGATAACGAATACTTTAAAATATGATTTGAAAGATTAAGCTACTTCCAGTTGAGATAAAAGTGTGACGATTGCAGGGCTGTATTTTCAAACACAGTAGACTACAAAAAAATATATATGTCAATTGTTTAAGCTAATATTAGGTTTTCACTACAATCTTTACTGTGTAAATTTCTTCCCATCGTCTTCCAATATCAACAACCCATTAAAATCGTATTCATTTTGTTTTGGCGAATTTCCCTATAGGGAAGTAGCTATTACCGTAGGTCTCATGGTAAGACTTAGGCCCGGGACCGATTTACTTTTTCATTTTGATGTCCCCAGAGGCCAAAAACACCATTCGTTCAAATTTTTATATATGTATATATATATATATATAGATATATATATATATATATGTGTCCGTGAACACGATAACTTGAGTAATTTTTATCCGATTTTGATGATTTTGGTTGAAGGTGTAAGGCGGGATAAACTTGAATGAGTTCGCGATCCAGCATGATCGGACCATGGGAACAGGATTTTATGGGGGGTTTTATGGGGTAAAAATTGGTTTTTCTCACTTTTGACCCTCAAAACACAACATTTTCCAATTTTTCTCTAAACCTTCTTAAAGAGCTTAAAAAACAAACAATTCAGTATATCAAAGTGTTTTTGTACGGTTATTGGTTACAGAGAAAACTAAAAAAAAATTAAATTTAAAATGCCCATGTTATTCTTATGGAGAATATTGTAAAATGTTGTAGTTTGCTTGTTTATGGATATCTTTTAATCAAACTTGGCCAATATATTCATTTTATACTAAGCAATAATTATTTTACTTAAAACACAGACTTTATTAGTTTCCTTGTAGCAGCAAACCTAGGTACTCGTTAAACCTAATGTTATTTAAAAAGATCAATTGAAAATCAATTCAGCCAAATGGAAATTCGCTTAGATGGCAGGTTTGCTGCGGCGGGGGTATTATATTATGTCCTATTTTCATACATTTTATTAGGTTTCAAAAATATATGTGTAAAAAAAACTTGTAATAGTTTATTTATATAGGAATACTTATTACATTGTTCAATATATACAATTGTAAAAACTCTTGACAACGCCTCTCACCTTTTCTACACAGTGACAATAGCCACAGACAAGTTAAGTACAATAATTTTAAATTATACTGAGCCCTATCTTAAAGGATTACAGAATTTTCAAACTAAAGTCCTATCTTTTATACACATTTACTTTTGGATGTAAAGTAATGGTAGTTTACGCAACGATCGTGTAAAGATAGTGTTAACGACACGATTGGAAAATTTAAGGTACGAGCATTGGCGAGTGCCTTAAAAACTTCTGCGATTGTCATTATAACACTATTTGCGTAAGTTGCGTACACTACTTTACCTACAACCGGGTTTTAATTACTATTTATAACCTCTCATTGCCACTGGCATTGATGCAACGACTCATTGTACCGATCACTAATTACATCAATCGTTAACAATTAAATTAGTAAACAGTTGATTAGTTGAAGTTCGAAGCATTATAGTTTTACTTCTCTCTCAATCCTTGAACCTCATTGGTCCATTACCCGTGTTGTTAAGTGAAACTATGATATTATGTAAGTAAAAAATGCTGTGTTGTGTTCATTTCTAAGAACTGAACTGAAACTAATACTTTGAAAAATGGTACTAGGTAAAAATATTGATAACATACACATCACTAAAAGCAACGAAATTCTATGCAAACACGAGTGAAACTGTATGAAGGTTTTACTAGATCTACATCAATTATACTTCTATACTTACCTTTGCTGGGAGGAAGATGTTGAAAATACCTCAATACTACCAACTTTATTATTACATCTTAAAACTAAAAGCACAAACGAGAAAACTTGGAACGAAATGTAGGTTGAGTGATTGCCAACATTTACCCGAGTGTGATGATTCTCTCTACACCGCAATGGATATACACGGGTGTTCATCGTAGTCTTGTATCACCTTTACAAGGAATCATTTACAATGGATGCTAATAAAAACAAATACTAAACAATATATCAGGTTTAAATCGTTTTCAGCTTCAAATATAATTTGTTACAGAAACATTTTCTTTAGGACGATGAAACTACGAAAATACGATCTGAAACACTGCCTATCCAACATCAGCAGCTGTTCTCAATTTGTATGAAAGACATATTTTTCAGTTGGGTAAAAATACAAAATAGCAATATCCAATAAATGTCGTGGCAATTTCGTTTTGTTCAATTTAATAATGACTTATTATCAAATAATAAGTACGCACATTTCAATAAAAACTCAATCATTCCTACTACTTTTCACATAGTTGAAAAGTCAATTGTATTAGTATCTTTAAATTATTTTACGTCAGTATTAACAGTACTTCACCAAAATAATTTGGAATGTATTTTTTTCATTTGTAAACGTGAGAAAAACTATATTTTACAACAAACACAAGAAATAAACGTTTACATAACATAAATGTGGACGTATGATGTAGTTTTGTTATATAACAGCACCGCAGCCAAGTTGCATTCAGCGCGACTGCGGTCATATAAAATACATTATACACAATATAACCCTGCAGCGCACTGTAGTGCTGCATGCATGAATAACCAGAAGGAACCAAAAGAGAAAACAAATCAATAGGTTATGCCATCAGGTTATAGGACATAATTATTATAATTTTGCTTGATAAAAACTAGTCACTTATGTTGAAAACACAGTTCTTGCAATATTATCTAATCAAAAATAAATATAAAATGTATTTAAATTTAGCTTACCAGTAGAGTTGTTACTATACAATATGTTGAACAGTACCTGAAACAGAAAATCCTATTGTTAGTGGAAAATTAGGCTATACATTTATAAGTACATTAGTCAGTTGGTAAAGAGCCAGTATTAAATTTTACTAACCAAGATGGTTTACTTATCTTATTAAGTACTGCTATTTATGTCAGAGAAAAAATAAAGAGTGCTACATAAAAATGAACTGTATCAGCATGACAATCACTTTCTCTCACCTTCTCAACAAACCTTATGAAGGTCCTTATGGTGGGAATATGATATTTTATGGGTAAAATTGCAAATGCTGCAATAACATTTGAACCGTAATTTTCCAGCAATGAGAATGAACCTATTGGGTCTGATGATGATTGGAGTGTCCAATCGACATCGATTACCACTTACCATCTTTTGAGTCAACAGTTTCAGTGTAGGCCTAAATATATTATTACAAGTGTTATTAGACGTATTTTTTCGTATTTTCAGGTTATTTTATAACTCGTACGATGCTGATCAAGAAGTTATTCAAGCATAGGTAAAGCTGTTATCCTCTTGAGAAGTTTTTATCCTATTT